GAATAGATGCAGCAGATGGAAAATATTAACCTCACAGCCGGCCAACTCTGCGTACTTCGCCAGCATCAGAAAAACTTTATATAAATAAGGGGAGAGCTGTGCCGGGAAGACATTGTAAAAGCGGCATAACTCCTCCACTAGTGGGGGAGAGGAAGAGAATAACCAACTAGGAACGGGTAAACATAGAAAGCACAATATCTAGGTCGGTGAACCTGTACTATGTCGTCTCCCGCCGAAATAATCTCAACGTGAGAAGGAATACGATATTTGGATCGGAGGTCGGCTATTTGACGCAGCCCCGTTCAGAAAGCTCCTGAGCAGGAGGGGGAGCATGTTCCTTTGGGAAGTCATTTCTTACCAAAGGATTCTTGAAAACCACCTCCTCCACGGTGGGGAAGCTTTTTTCCTCCTCAACCATGGATTCCTCACCGCCGGGAGGAATGGCCACCCATAAAGGAGTGGCATCGGAGAGTCCGTCGTGAATATGAGGGGAATTTGACATATTTTTGTAGTAAAGCGTGTACAGCAATGATGGAGAAAGAAGATGTCAGCCGGGAAAGAAATCAGGGACTGGAATTGAAGAAGTTGCAAGAAATCGGAAATGGAGATCAGAGAAGAAGATCAAAGAAAAACGATATGCATACAAAAAGGGGAAATGCTAAAAGTTTCGAAAATGAAACTCCTCTCCTCTGCTTATAGGGTTGGGTGACACTAGAATCGAGGCAAAGAGCCGTCAATGGCGCCGAAATCGAAGCGACAGAAGCACAGACACTGCTTTGGCAAGATGCATAATGATGACGCGCGTGGCATAACGTCATTCTACGTCAGCCACACCAACCACAACCCCGCTGAAAACGCCTCCAGTTCGACCTCGACCGATTCTATTCGATCATCACGACCAAATTTCCTCGAAACGATGGCAGACAGAATCCGCTCATCGAGGACGTCCAAGATCACGACCTCAACAAGCGGAGGGACTAACTGTATTGGTCGAAATTTGGACTAGACTTAATAACTGTAGGTGGACGTGGTTAAGGATTAAGCCGACCATGGCACAATGGCGAGGAGTCATCTTAAGAAGGATTAGTGCCGAAGTCAATTAAAGAATGCATGGAAGCAACAGTATAATAAGTTTAGAATAGAATGAAGGAATATTCCATTGGATATTCTTTCTGTTGTACCTTTTAGGGTTTCTTAGGAATATCCCCTATAAATAGGAAGAGATAAAGAACAAAAAGGGAATTTTCACTTTTCTGATATGACCACATTGTAAAGGGTTGATTACAAAGAATATACAAAAGCTTGTCTTGTGATCTTGTCCACTGATTACATTGTTCGATATACATTTTTTGTTCACAAGATTCAAAGATTCCTTGTCCATCTTCATTCTCTATTACTCTACGTTGTTGTCGGGAAGGAGAATCATCCAAGTCATCTAACATTTGGGTGATAAATTCCTTCTTATTACATTCATTGCCATTATCTACATTTATTACATGCTTTTATTACTATATTCATAGACAATCATTGAGCATTTGTAGTTGGTATACAACATTTTCGGATTCGGCCCTACATCATCAATACATCTAAACGTTAGAACTAGTGGTTATTATATTTAACTAGGATTCACCCTCTATTTTCTCATTAATTCGTTTTAAGAAAAGGTTTAATACTTTTTTGGTAAAACAAAAATAAAAAGTGAAATTTTGTTTCAAGTGAAAATAATATTTAAAAATTAGAGGTGTGTTTGGATATAAATAAAATTTTGGATTGTTTTTGAATTTTTGTGAGTAATTTGAGTGAAAGTATTGAAAAATTGCCTTTTGGAGTTTTTCAAACTTTTGAAAAATATCAAAATTCATCTTAAAAAAGAATTTGGAAATTTTATGGCCAAAAACTTATTTCGAAAAAAGTGAAATTTTTTTGAAAAAAATAAAAATTTCTTATGTCCAAACAGGCTCTTAGTGGCCTAGCATTTAGGTAAGGTGGTCTTGGCAAGCTCCTACTCTATCATCACGGTAAATATGTAATACATGACCTGTCACGATTCAAATTCATATGATCAAGACGCTCGATACATTATTTGATCCGAACGAATCAAGTCATATAATACACACCAATCATATGTTTATAAACTAATTAATCAAGGAAGATATTTGAAAATCAAATACATCTTCAAATTAAATTATAAAATATTTTTCTTCACCATATGAAAATGGTGAAACAATTAGTAAAAATGATGAAATAAAATAAAATAATTTTCTTTTTATGAAATAATCGTGTATAATCCTATTATTACCACCTAATACTATCTATAGAGCCTCTATACCAAAGAATAAAATCAATATTTGAGGCAATTCCTAACTAAAAGAAAATAGGAATAACATGATATCTACCACAAAATATTTCTCTTGTTTTTGCTTAATTTATTTTATGTTGTTGTAGAATAGTGAAATGAATCTCTATACTAACCATATTTCATGTTCCCCTGATTCGTCACATTTTAAACGGTAAAAATTTGAGAGAGTTTTGCCAAAGTCATATGCAAGACACGCTCTAACTTCTATTAACGACTTTTATATGACTTTTAAATTAAAAATATCCAAAAGTTAATCGAATCGTACCAATATCAAAGAGAAACTAAGATGATTGGGATAATTTCAAAAAGTTTAATTTTGATTATATAAAATAGAATTATTGAAAAATTGGTTGCTACAAATTTCAGCTGAACCGAACCATTGACATCCCTAGTATTGAGCTGATTTAACTGTCGGCAATATGCTTGGTAGGAAATTAGCCAAATTTATAAGAGCGATTAATGGCAAAACTAATGGTACTAAATTAATTATGGACATGTCCTTCTATTATTGGACGGGAGAATATTCTTTTTATGTTATTTTGTAGTACCATTCATTTTCTACTTTTGGTTTTCTAAAGGCGAAATGGCTTCCTGGCCACTTAAACTTGCATCAGTTTGTAAAGCCGATATATGAATTTTTGGCTTTCCTATTTGAACACCTTTACTTGAGAAAATGGCTACTAATAAACACCTAAGATCGTTAACTATGCTTATCTGACAATATTATAGCTGATGTGATCGATTGCGTGTTAATCACGGGTATAAAGCGCGTGAATACGATAGATTTAATAATAAAATAAAATAAAAAGATCCACCTCTATTTATTCCTCCTCGTACCCGTACCCCCTACCCCTTCCTTTTCT